TATTGCCAAATGTTTTGTTAAACATGCAATTTTTGATTTCTGTTAAGCAGACGCAAACTTGACTTCCGCTTATGGTATGAAAATCGTTCAACCGTTAAATTACCAATATTTACCAAACTGTATATATTCATAATTTTAAGATATAAAATTCTTTACATTACATAATTATTTCCTCTTAAAGTAGGATGTTGCGTTTCTTTTGCGTTTCAGTATATGATACATCATTGCCTACTTTAAAGAAATTGCCAAACAACTAAATATTTTATTTTATGATACGGCATTGCCTACTTTAAAAAAATACCAAGCGACAGTAACATATTACGGTGTATTGTATTAGATTTCACTTTCGGCTTTCCATAATATTAAAGGTATTCAGATTAATACAGCTCTATCGAGAGATATATTTTAACTATCGGTGTTCAATTTTCAGTCAAGCATGAAAGTATCTATTGGTCACTTTCACTTCTTTTATTCTTTTGGCTATTTAAATCATGACAAATCTTTATATTATCAGTAGTGTACACCGTATCTACTCACTGACTAGGTTTAGGGTAGACACCTTTTCCACCTGAATCAGGTACTTTATGATTTTTTTCCCTTATTGCTTGTTTTTTGTATAATAAATTGTTGAAACCTTACAAGTTGTTTTATTTAAGGAAAGTTAACCTTGGTCCAGAAAAATTATATTTCGGAACAAACCTGGGTAAAAAAGGAAAATGTTTTAGAGTGTGAATTACAACTCCTACCTTATTATGCGCGGATCTAGATCTAGAGAGATCCGCGCCTGCCCTATTCATGATCAAGCCGACTAGATGTATTCATTAAAATGGATCTACAAAGATACTTTCTATGTCGTGTAATTTATGTTTTGTTCATAATGTAAGGGAAATTGATGAACTCTAGATATTTCGTTTTTTCGACTAATCAAAGAATGTTTGATTAAAAAAAAGCGTATTGCAAATTCTAAAAAAAAAATTATATCATTTTTCTGAAACATCATGTATAAGAGTAAACGTTTTATAATATCAATGCATGTATTTGTTTTATAACAATCAAAGAACAATGTTTTTTTTTTTTCAACAATACAAAGGATTTTGGATTTCATCAGGTATTGTAAATTTTGAAATTCTAAATTACAATTATATCTTTTAAAACCAAAATCAGTATTCAGTGGTCTTGTTTTAAAATCCAAATAAATCTGTCGGCAATAAAGGTATTAAGTTTTCATTGGAAAATAAATGGCTTTTTACGCGGAAATCACTGCACTTCCGCACTAATTTAGAGTAGGGATCTTATCTCCTCAATTGTTTATGTTGATCTATCAGTCTTTGTATCTTGATAATATCTCATCGATTTAGAATTACGTCAACCTATACACGTCAAATAGTCCGACTTGTTGACCCAATGAACAATTTCTCGTGTTTGTTACGCATCGTAGAACTCTGTTTTACTACATTTAATCCAAAAACTTTTTTGTCCAAATCATGAAAATTCAAATATAATATATACAATGGCATGAAAATAAATTGAGTGACAGAATTTTCTTTTGACAAAAAAAAAATCCAATCCAAAAAATTTATAAACAGAACCAGGTAAAAGTTCATCCATGCATGATGATATTGTTTACATGTATTGACAACATGTCTTTATATGATATATATTTTGGAAACTGATTTTAATCACTAAAATAAAAATAAAAACGAAAAAAAAGCTACATGTCATAAACGAAGTTATTATTTCACAAAACATTAAATTAATTTGAGACAAAACATACATGTTTATGATCATCGTCAAAGAAGAAAACAGTAAACGATATAGGTTGTCGAACAGCTGCATCTATTACAGAAATTGACAAAGGTAATTTAATAAAAGTTAATTAATCTTTCACGGAAGGAAGCATATTTCATTCTCAATGACCCAATGAGTTTCCGACAAAGACGTCTTTTCCCTTGATTGATGGCTTCAGGGAAGAATAAAGCAACTTTTAACAACACAATATAAATACATGTACGAATTTCTTCTTATTCCAAAAGTATTTTTTCCCTGTCAGTCACATGGTAAGTTTTATAAAGTTTATTGCTATGAACTGTCTACTCAATATCATAAACTGATTTTAAGAGATATTGAGATTTTTGACAGACAGTACATATAAATTTTGTAAAATTAGAGAGAAAAAGTTTGAGAGATATATATTTCAATTTTAATACCTGTTTTAAATGCTGTTAATATTAATTCCCTATTTTTTCTAGATGAAGAGCTTGAGAGTTGTCTTTCTTAGTTTCCTTGCATTCCTAATTATTATTGACTTGAACTCTCAAACAGTCGGCAGCCACTTCATTGGCGGCTGTTACAGAAAAAGGAGAGGTTGTTTTGACGAACCTTGTAAAAGAAGATGTAGATTACTGTATGGATTGAGTGGGAACTGCAAGAGAACAAAACTGTGTCCCAAGAGAAGATACAAATGTTGCTGTAGCTATAACTCCGAAGAGCGAGAAGTAGATGACTAAAGTGAAAAAGGACATTCTTTGTACAGCTGAACCCAAAAGACCCTACGATGTTAACTATAGAAAAATCCTTCATTGCGTTATGAAGATAAGAGTCCTTAGATGTACTGTTTACTTGTCGTATAGCTCTTTTTCTCTCCGCTTCAAACCTTATTTATTTTTGTATATTTTTTTCAATGTCTTTTTATACTATTTTATACACTTTTTATAATAACCTTTTAAAATGTCTGGGTTTTTCAATATTTTTTTAATAAAAGACTTAAATTTTTACCTTTGTTATCATTGTTTTTTTTTTGTTGTTTTTTTTAATAAAAAAGCTTTATTTCTTAATTCCTAAATCATGTTTTAATTTGTAACAGAAACATTACTTTTTATGACAATTAACCAGGATATTTACGCAGAGAATATTGAATTCTGGATTGAAGGATTTATTAAAAAAAAAACTATGATAATTGGAAAATCCTTTTGCAATCCTGTACTTTTGAAAAAAAAAGGGTAATTCTGGTCGGAAGAATAATAACCTCATCTGAGATAAGGAGATAGTGTAATATATCTGGTTAAACAGTAAAAACAGATGAATATATTACCTTGATACACTGTATTACCGTTCTGATGAAGCATTTGATACAGTAGTCGATACAGCGTCACAGAAATAACGCTTCTGATGACGTTTGTAACCTACTTTCATCCAAAAACAGCGTAAAAATACACTTATACAGAGAGTAAATCATTATTTTATTTATAATGATATATACTTTTAAAAAAAACTATTGAAAACTATTTTTATGTCAATTTGAGAAATAATAAGAAAATCAAACGGGAAATGTCCTTTTGTTTAAATAGATCATACTCAAGCCTTTTTTGTCGTTTGTTTGCCTTCTACTAGTGACTATTTAAATTTGGACAGAAAATTTCTGTTAACCAACGTATGCATAATAATGTAAAAGTTGAAGATTACAGCCAGCGAAAAAAAATCTATCAGGCAATCTTTAAAAAAAATGTTGCCCTCACCTCACCGACTGACAAAAATGGTCCACTTTATTTTTCGTCATTCCAGGACATGATATTTCCTCCCATTTAACCCTGCTATCCTTTCAACAAATATGATGAAAAGATTTTCTCACCTACCGGCCCACTAATTTTAACCCGATTCGGGAAATGACAAGCTGTTAAAATTATTTTGAAACATGTCCATAACAAAACCTATCTGTGAAAAGAGCAAATTACAAACCTCTGAAAATTTCAGACGCAGGATCAGGTGCCAACATGGGTAAAACACCCCCTTTTCACTTTTTACATCTATTATCAGCACAACATATTGATCAATTCAAGTTTATGAAGTAGATTAAACACCCCATACTATTTTTAGCATAAAATCAAATGCTAATGAAAGAAGTTAATCAAACAACAACCCAAATATGGGTCATTTTGCGTACAAGTTCATTATAATGACCATAGAAGACTATATAGAGGCCATGGATTTACGAAATCCTGATTTCAGACTAGGTTGTTGAAATCCAGGCCTTTTCAAGTTATCAGTGAGTAGCATGCATTGCTTTAAAATGACCGTACTCAGAACAAGTTCTTGAGTAGCAAAAAATCTGGTAGACATTAACACCACAATGAGGTGATACAGGATTTTTTTATACTCAAATACCGCAAAAATCACATATTTTCATTGGGTCCGATTTTTCAAGGTTTGAGGAAAAAATATTTGTATGTGGGGAATTGATTTTGTGAATGGAGAATATATAGTAGTAATGGATATGGAATTTTACATATTGTGGTGTTCATGAATTCGTAGGTATATCTCCATACCTCGCAAACAACGAATATTACCCTCACCACGCCCGCAAAGAATGTTTTAAATGTAAACAAAATTAAAATTTTTTTTGAAAAAAAACACTAGTTTTTATGGAAAATACTATTATAGAATTGGACAAGGGTAATGTTTAACCTCTCAAAATGTAAGAAAAAATATGCAGAAAAAAAAGAAACATGCACAACCTATTAAAATTAATTATTGTTTTTTTTTTTAAAAATGATACTTCATAATGATTGTCAAGGTTTTTGCAAAAATAAAAAAAAGAACAAAAAAAGAACAAAAATATTTACCTATATATCACAATCTTCCCTGATGGCAAACAGAAAGTAAAACGTAAAAAGCCAATAAGAAAGTGAAAATAGGTATTCTATGCACTCACAAGTATGGTGAACGTTCTCGTAACTTCTGGATGAATAAAAAAATATAGCAATTATGTAAATTCCATATACACTGACCTTGAACGTTTAAAAACACATCAACAAATTGACAGATTTTGCTCTAAATCTCAAAAATCACAGTACATGACAAATTTCGCCATCATCAAATTAAATCAGTTGTGTTATAACTTCTGACATAAGTAGGTGTTCGAATACGTTTGATTTGTCATGATAATTGATATATTTTGCTCTAAATCTCAACAATCTCAGTACATGACAAATTTCGCCATCATTAGATTAAATCAGTTGTGTTATAACTTCCGGCATAAAGTAGGTGTTCGAATACGTTTGATTTGTCATTATAATTGATGTACACCTAAAGTGACGAAAAAATATAATCGAGCAGATCTGTTCAGTGCAAATGTTTCTGCGCAGTTGAAATATTTGTTAAAATCTAAACAATGTATTTTCGGCTATGTGTTTAAAAACTTAACACAGAAACTGTTGTGGAGGGGAGTCTGCTACAGTGTACATGCTTCTACATTTCTTTTTATTTTAGAAAAAACCTAGGGAATTAAACTATACAACATTTAAACGCAACCACAATGCACTTTCCCTTTAGAGTATTAGCATTTAATTAGGAAACGCTTTTTGTTTACTTTTTATACAGTTGTTGCCCTGTCTGTATGTCTGTCCATTCTTCCTCAAAAGTGATCGTTTTCGATAACGTTGTATTAGGTGGTGCTATAGCTTTCGAATTTTACATGTGTATTCCTTGTTGATTCCCGTTGACAAGATCTTTGTTTTGGTACCAACACATTAGATCTTTTGATAATTTTGAGTTAGGACTTCATACTCTTTTAGTGTGATGATTTTGAAAAATGTTTTCGATGCTAGGAATGTTTTTTCTTAATATTTTTTTTAATTGACAATGGGTTTTTGAATTTCTTAACCTAAGTCATAACAGTTGGTGATTAAACATTTGTAATTCATCAGTGTATTTTTGTGACAAGTATTTTCCTTGGTTTTGTCCCTTTGACCTTGATCTTTAAGTTTGACTTAAAGTTTGAATTTTTAATCTTAGCTATTATCTGCATTCAGTTTGTCATAAACGAATGTTATTGTGTATTTTATAGCTCTACCTATTTTTTTTATATAGAGTATCCTTCCCAGTTCAGTCGCCCGCGTGGTGCAGTGGCTAGAGCGCCCGTTCTCGAGTTGCGAAGTAAATAGTTGTCCATTACGTCGCGAGGTCGAATCTCACTGTGGAATTTGGGGGCAGGTCCCTCTGATGAGACCGTATAAATCGTGTAGCAATTGATGCTGGTACAAAAACGTTCCCCTACTACTTAGTTGCCGTAAGTACCGAGTGTTGGACAAAATTTCCACCGTTGAGTGGTGGCGTCTCCATTGGAGTGAAAATTTCCAGAGAGGGATGTTAAACAACATACAATCAATCAATTTTACCTAACTTCAGACTTCATTTATTAAATATAACAGGCTATTTGTTTCATTTTAATTAAGCGTGTGATCGATCATATCATTCCTTCTTTGAACTGTAGGCTCTTCTCAAACAGATTAAAATTCAGTTTCCTTGTGTAAGTAAATCCTTCATTCTTTAGTACTTAAGGACGTTCGATCCTGAGATTTTGAGCGTAATTTGGTCAGGTCCTTTATTTATAAAATTCTGCATCATTTTTTAATTTCTAACATTAAATCTGAATTCTACAGTGCAAATTTAACTTTATTCAATGAAAAAACAGCGATAAATTCCATTCAAGTAGAATTAAGATAGGGACTATATTTTGTGGCGGAATGTTTTTTAGACGAAAATTATCAGTTTTTCCATTTTGAACTAAAGCAGTACTGTTAATCTTGGATTCCTATTTTTCCATCCTGGTTGCACAAAAAGCTGTTTCTTGCATTTAAATGTGTTATGCTGGTTTTGAATTATCTATTAAATTATTTCTTATGAATTCTATCAACTAAGTATGACAGATATAGTAAATATACTAGTATTCTGAAAATGCGGGAAAAATTTGAGCCAATTTTAACGTAAAATTGACCCTTTTTGGAATATCTGAAAATTTACATCATATACCCCCACTTTTGATGTTTTTTCTAAATATTCAAGATAAATTTGGCCTTTTTGCTTAAAATCAGAAAAAGTTAAAGACTTTAAAAAATTTTCTTGCTTTTTAAATTTTCAATGCCAGAAAAATCACACTTTATTAGTGCAGAAAGGTCAAATAATTGATTATGCGAAGCAATTCTAAACTTTTTTTTAGTCACAATTTTTAAGTGTCTTTGTTTTTAAACAAAGTTGGTTTCAATTTGTTTCATGCTTTAATTGGATAAAAATATTGGAGGGAAAACGTCAAAAATATAATTTTTAATAAGACACAAATTTCAGTGCAAAAAGGTCACATTAAATGTACTGTAGCGCCAAAAGAAGCGTATTGACCCCCATTTTTTATTTTGAATTTTAATAAAGCTATGTATGTAGAAACTAAAAATATACTTGGCAAAAAAAGTTTAAGACTTTAAATATCAGGATCGTTAAGGAAGGTCCATACTTTAACGGATCCGGTTTTAATTTTACACATCAGTAAAAAAAATTGTGATTATCAATTGTCTATTGAAATAAAATCTTTTTGGGTGATTGAAAATAATTTAGCAAGTATATTTTGTTTATTGTGTTATTGTGCATACAGAGCATTTGATACCGGGAATACATTGTTTATGGAAATTAACACTTTGCACTCTGTCCATAAGATCTGTATGTCATTTTATGCATACACAGACACAAAATACCTTATTGCTTTTATGGACCCAAATCTTTTTAATTTTCTTTTTACCAAACTAACCTGATATCTATTTTTATTGATTTAAGCCTATATCATCCATTTGATTTTTACTTTTAAAAAGTTTGCAATGAATAATTGAAAAAAATGATATTCCAAATACGGGGTTATACGTCTTCAAAAGACTGTTTTGTTAAAGTTCTCTGGTCAACCATAATAAAGTATGTGTTTTTGTTAACTTTATATATAATTCTTAATAGTTTTAAAGAAAAAATGGCATCTAAACAGTTTGAATTTTGAGGAATATAAAAAATAATGATATTTTGAGATTTTTTTCTGAAAGACTTGGACATCAATTTGTTAATGTTTTGTAGTAAAGATTTCAAATATTCTCTTGGCAAATGAATATTTTTGTTCTTCATAAGTTTTAACATAAATTTAATTTGGAGCATGACTAAATAAAATATGATATCACACTTCTTACACTGTAATGTTCAAAATTGGCTGTTGAGTTTTTGGAGGCATGTGCTCTGAGCCATGTTGTTTGAAAATTGACTCGCAAAGTTATGTCTTTTATGGGTGTTTTAGTTAGTTTAAGACTTATTTAAGGTATTTCAAGGTATTCAAATTAAAAAAAAAATATCAGTTTGACGGAAAATTATGGACCTACCTTAAGATATCATAAAACAATTAATGTAAAGCTTATTTTTGTTCTATTAGCCAGAACCCATTCTCTGCAATTACTTTAATTCTTTTTTAAATCGACATTTAGTATGATAGCTGAAAGAAATAACTTGACTTTAATAGAGCACTAGTATAGAAAATCTGTTAAATGTACCATACTTACGGTGTGCAATGTTTCGCGAAAATAGATTTTATTTTAAAAGTTGGCTTTGAGTTAGCATATTTCTGAAAATGCAAGAAATAAATACTTGTACAAAAGATGAGAGATATGTCCACTGACAGAATGTGCTTTCGAAAAAGCCGCTTATGGCATATTAAGCCAATTTGATATTTTGACAGCATTCAAAAAGACCGCAATGTATTCTATGTCAGTTACTTGCATTTTGATGTAATGTGTTAGTCCATATTGAGAGATTTGATATCTGCTGTGTTGTGAACATAAAAATTTTCTGTCGACGAACTAACCACATTTTTTTTTATTTTCACGTATATCCATTCATTTCACAAGTGCCCGAATACCTACATGTAATACATTCATTACGCCTTTTTTGCAACATCAGAAAATTACAAATAAATCCATCATTATTGAAAAATGACGCATAAACAATTGTTCATTTTTTTCAATGCAATCAATTTTTTTGTGATTTTAGAGTGTATATAAAGAGTCAAATTGGCTCTGAGATAAATAAAGTTTTACTCTGGTATAGTAGAGTTATTAGATACCGTAACAAAAGGTAAGTGAAATATGCATTTTTTCATTATTAATAACTTGGACCTACAGTTCTTTAAAGCAAACAATAAAAGCAAACAATAAAAGCTTTTACTTTCTATTAGTATCTTAAATTTTTGTTTAAAGTATCTATGTCAGTTGTATAAAACATATCCATTTTTCTAATTAACCCTGTTCTCAGATGAACACATTTATAATACTTTTAAATTTGAAGAAAAGAAAAAATTATGTTTACTGCTGAATATCGTGTTATTTCATAAGTCATGCAGATTACATGTAATCTTCATTTATTGCGAGGATTTGCGAAAACAAAACAAAAAACCATCCCTCAGTGGCGGATCAAGGAATTTTGTAACGGGGTGGGGGGGGGGGGGGCAGTAGAAGGTAGATAATCAGATGGCTGTACGGAAGCCCCCTGTGGGTCCAAGGCAAGGTCCAGACAAATTCTTACAAATAAGAGATATTTTTACTTTATTTTAGGATAATGGACATATAAATTTTACAAACGAAAACTCCGCCTTTGTCCCTGTAATAAAACTAAGCAAACCAAAGTAAATTATATATATATGACTTATTTCACCAATGAAGTCTTTACACTTCATTTCTTGATATGTGGCTTCAAATAACTGCAAGTTTCCATCACTGTTGCAACATTTTCTTCGGAAAACAATCCTATTTCATAAAAAAAGATATCGGAATAAAGAGACCGATATCAGAATAAAGATGTTTTGATTTTTTTTAATAAAACATAAAATTATATTTCAGATGATGAGTTTGTTGCCATTTTCTCTTGGTGTTCTGCTTATAGCAGCCGTGAGCATTGATGTTACTTCATCTGTGTCTCTTGTGGAAGGACCCTGCTTCGGTCTGTCGGAATGCAATGCAATGAAATGTTTGAAGTATTGTACAGGAATCGGCTATCGTACCGCTAATTGTCACCTTGATGTCAATCGCTGTGCATTAGCAGGGTACACTGGAGAGTACAGGTGCCAATGCAGTGAGGTTGACCTGTTTCCATACGTCTAAAAGCCATCTCGAAATAAAATAAAACAATCATATTGTCCTCTCAGCTAATCCATTCAGACCAATATGATATTCATTAACCATGTGCACAAAGCAAATTCAATGTAATTGCTAACTATTTTTTTTTATGGAAAATTAAACTTTTTTGCAGTTTACATGTGTCTTAGTTTTTGTTTATTTGTGTTGTTAAATTAAAGTCACTGCAAATGGATTTTGCATTGGTATTGACAATATGTATAATTTTTTTTTTTTAATATGGAAACAGTGGGTCTTTGAGAGGGTCTCTTTTTATATCATTTCAATAAGATTATTTATTCTTTCTGTTTGAGAAACTTTTAAGATGACACAAACTTTATGAAGGATCTTGACTTAAACATTTTATGGGTACAGTATTACCATACACTGTGTATAGTAATATGCAAAAGTATTTTACGAAAGTAAAACCCTCTTAAAATAATGTTTGTTTGCCTTCTCTTCTCTTTGCTGGTAAAAACAAAGTCGATTGGCATTTCTATTTTTTTTCTGGAAAAATCAATGCTGAATATTCAGAGTAAATTTAAACGTAAGGTATTTATGAAATATGAAAACAATGAACATCATTCAAGCTAAAATGTCTAATGAAAAAAAATCAAATCGGAATCATAGCGCACAGCGATTTGATCAGGTCCAGGAAGGAGAAAGCACCCCCTGTAAACCTGACTAAACCCGAAATATGCTCTTCGATTTGATCGGATTAGCAAAAAGTGCTTATTTTTTAAAGAAAAGAATATAAATAGCTAGATAGAACATTTATTGGAATCTGCTATATATATCTTTTGTCAGGGATTTTATAAAATTTAGGAATTCTGTATTGATGTGGTAATTAATTTTCATCTTGACTGTTGGAAATATTTAAATGATTTCGAACTGACATATGATCTTGAACAATTTCTCCCAACAGTGAGCTATAGGTAATAGTTAATAAATCACTTGCAGAATCAAGTTCTTCGAAAATACAAATGAAAAGGAGCGTTTCTAACTTATTACATTAGCAATAATAGTCCCCTACCGGTAAGTGTAACCTTGTCTCCACTAAAAATTGAAAATGTCATATAACCGTCAAAAAGTATTGAAGAGGAACGATATGCAAAGAAAGTGGGCGCTTTAGATGGCGATTCGGCAGGAATAGTGGCTCATAAAAAGAATAAAAAAATATCTTTGATTTATACATTTTTTTCAAAACATAGCCAATGACTGTGTTGTAGGTAAATGTAATATGGGCAAATGTTCAATTAAATATGTTTGATTTTATTTGAATATGCACCTGAATATAGCCGTACGCGTCAAATGATGCAAAATCGACTCTTTTATAGCCGTTTTCATTAATTTTGTTGTTTCTGGGTCTTTTCTCCATGAATCTTAAACGTGTTGTCAGTGTATTTTTAACCGTAAAATTCATTCCAGTTGTTAAAAAAATGGAGAGACGACCCAGAAATACCACAATCTAAACTTTTTACATTTATTTTCTGGTAGAAAATTGACAAAGTCCAAATGTATAGGGCTTTGGCTTTAAATAATGATTTAAATACTAGCTATGTGTAGTGTTCCGCGATAGCTACATTGGTTTGTCGCTGGATTCGAGCCATGTCGAAGGAGTGTTTCAGGTTCGAATACAGTGATTTCTTTTATTTTATTTTTCTTTGAGCTTGACATTTTTGAATTTTAAATACTCCTTGAATACTCCTTGAATAAAGTAGCAAATTTTGTTTTATAAATTATTTTACATTAATTGTTTTATTTTTCAATGCGTTTACATTTTGTCATTTATAGTGCTAACGTTCTCAAATGGAAATAAACATACATGAACTTGTAATTACAAAGTTACACCTGATGAAAAAAATATTGAATATATATTAAAAAAAACTAGTAACATCGTTCTGTTACATTCAATATTTTCAGTGCATTTGAAAACTGAGCACAACAATTATTTAGTGTTAGACTTCTATTATATTCTATTACTTATGTTCTAAATTCACCAGTTCAAACGAACATAAATTATTTATAAATAAAACTCAAAAACACTTTATATAGGATGAGCTCGCATGCGCGAGTGCAACAGACTTTAATAAAGTGTATACAGTATACAAAGCACAGTCTTTAGTTTAACTTCTGAAATCCATATCATTCTACAAAAGAAAAAGGTTCAATTAAAGCGACAGTCAACATTAAAACGAACATTTTAACATGTACAAAATAACGATCATACTGGAAGGGGTGGGTGGGGCGGGGGATAAGTCTGTTGCAATGTAGCAGCGACCTACGAATGACTTAAAACACCCGAAAATCTACCTTATACGTGAATGAGTCACGCGTGGCACGGACTCAACCTGTTCACCCGTAAACAAATAAATAACCAATCGATTTCCTTTACCGATGGACTTAATCTGCATACATAACAAACACACGTGTTTTACCATAACTTTTATAAATATATATGTAAATGTACAGCTGATGTATCCAGCATACTATATATTAGATAATTTATCTTTCTTGAAACCTTTTAATTGAAAAAATTATTTACAAATAAACAAACATAAGACAGAAATCCATTCCCATGCAGTTTCTATAAGATGTATACGATACGCATTAAAACTACATGTTGCTTGGACATTTAAATCTGAATTGTTTCGTGTCGATGATTCCTGCCGACTGCCCATCTAGTGCGCCCACTTTCTTTGACTATAATTTATCAAAGAAAATGCACACAGTTCCAAACATTAACTCAATATCTGCAATTGTCAGCAGGAAAAGACGAATAGATAATCAGAGTGGCAGTCCAAAGGAAAAAAAAAGTAACCCATTGCTAGCTAGGGTTTTGACTGTTGAGAAAAAAATCTAATGAATAAAGACAAATATTTTCTCTCAAATCATCAGTTCTATAATAATTTATATCTATGTAAAAGGTAATGAAAATGCAAAGTTTGTCATATTATGTCCTTCAAGGATATCAAAAGTTGATGGCCGATTAATTACAAAATTATTGTTTTATTCAACTCAATTTAAACATATACACCTACCACACCTTTATATTATTTTAGTCGCATTGTGTTTTAAAATATTTTATCTTCTCATAACATACTGAGCGAACTTTTAGAATGATTTTGAATTTGCAACTGATTAAACTTTTAGAAAACTGTACAGATCATTAAGTTAGTTGATGCCATTGTGCTTGCCTTCTTATATATGGCTTTTATTTCTGTACCAATGAAACAAAGCTACGCTCTGTGGCCCCAAAGCAGCTCAGTATTAAAGATTGTTTTGATAACTTCCTTCGTTAAAAGTTGTTTCGAGTTTTGTTTATGAGTTTTTGAGTTATGAAATAGTAAAAACATGTTATTTTCTAAAATGAACGTAGGTTAGCTTATTGCCTGAATCCGGTATCTTCGTATCAGATGTTGCACTATTATCATCTCACTAAATAAATTTTGAATCTACGCATTCATTTAAATGACATTTGATAATAAACCTATGATATACATTATCAAACACCTTTATTTACAACTTCTTTGTGAAACAAAACAGATCTAAAAAAAAAATCTAAAATGCTTTTAGAACAAAATAATCTCCTATTTTTAAAGTTAAACTACTCTATTCAAAGAGTTGCAAGACATTCAACAAAACAAAGACAAGTTGGCTATGGGCTACAACGATTATCTGGGTCATTTAGTGTTGCTGTACTTCAAAATCAGTTAAATATGAATTAGACCTCTTAATATGGACCAAAAGCGATCTTAATTGTTTGATTAAATTGTATCTCACAAAACCAATAAAATAATGCTGAAATGTAAATTTGAAAAACATGGCTGTGCTGTTCTGAAGATATCTTTTCGCTGTACTTATGTACATAAATTGTGTAGTAATGTAGTAATTGGATCCCTGATACAAACAAAATCCTAGGTTTCTTCACACGGTGCTCGAACCGCTATATCGAGGTGTCGGACATACAGTGTACTCCAGTGTCTAAAACATATATTGTAGCAGTTTAACTAAAATAATGACCATACCAAAGGTCAACAGTCTAAAACAAAGTATTTAATTCTCCACATGAGAATTTGAACCTGCAATACCAGTTAATAAGAATTTTAGGACCTTTTAGAAACTAATTGCACACAAATCATATATTTTGCATACTGATTGTGCTAAGTAAAAAATACTAACTAATTCCGCAGAATTTTAATTAAAAATAATTTATCACTTTAAATTTCATTAATTTTGTATTTTTTAAAATTCCGCGGAAATTCGAATTGATTTTACATTATGAGGTTGACAAAAGTTAATATTTCAAACCTGCAAAATTGAACGTTCAGAGATTAGAAATGGCTGAGAAACTGAGGTTACAATTTATTAAGATAATAAGTATTGTTCGAAAAAGGACGTTTTCGGAACAGGTGGAGCAGAGAGCAGTGATAAAATTCTGTGTAGACGTCAGGAAAATACCAACAGAGACCCATCAATGCTGTAAACAGTCGGGAAAATATAATAAAGGATGCCGTTCTTAAGTGTTTAAGTGGAACTTATAATTTTTGGATGGGAGGAACAGTTTACAGGATGACATGCTTGATGGAAAACCATCATTCCTCGATTGCAGGGCTGTATAAAATGAATTTGGTAACGTGACTTTGGCTTATTTCCTTAAATAAAGTTTTTTACGCGGACAAAGGTTTGATGATTTGCAGACTCTGAGACAGGAAGTGTAAAATATTATTATACATATGAAATCTGAACATTTTGTACACATTTTTGAATATTGCTTGAAGAGACATAAAAAAATTTTTTAGTAATACGTTGACTGTGTTGACAAAAGTTACATGTGGTGAGGTTTTTACGTCGGGTAAGGTCAAAGATTTTCGTTTTTAGTGTTCCGGGGTATGAGTGTTTGTCTATTGTGTATGTGATGAAAATATAACTTTTTGTGCTTTGGTTTTGTTTAAAATTTGCATATGTATAAAACGAAATATTAATTCAATGAAATAACTGCTTCATATATTTTATCAATGTTTTTCAGTAATTACATGTATTAACATTGTCCATGAACTTTACGGACAAACTTCGTACATATTTTTTTAATGTCCAAATGTTTTTAATATTTATTTGCAAGCACATAATATTGTATTTT